TCCTCCTGCTGAGATACAAACACAAAGTTAAAAACTGTGCTTGCTGATGAATTCAGAAATACATTTTTTCCTATTTGTTTAGTTGAGCTGAGACTGAAGAAGTCACTTGGATGAGTGACGAAACGTTTCTCCCAGAAAACTCTACGTCCAGATGAACAGAATCAACTTTTGGAGATATTTGTTTAGTTGTTTTGCCACCTCTGTGCGAGTGACATCTTTGCTGGGTGTTTCAGTCTTTAACATCTTGTTGTAGCGTGTTGTATGTGTGACTAGCAATGAAGGAATATGCCCACCTTCTTCCACAGGCACAGTCACATCTTCCAGAGGTTTTCCTTCCATCACTATGTCACCCACAAGCAGTCCAGCACTCTGCCCAGGACCCCCAGAAGCAACCTACGAGGCCGAGTAAAATGAAAGTTTACAAGATTTGACACAAAACTGAAGCTTATGACTTTTCTGTGTGTGTGTTTATGCAACAAAACACTAAAACCTGACTGATGAAAGTCCCAGGACTCTGTGGCTCACAGCCTAATTTAAAGCCGAATCCCAAAGGGCCTTTCTGGAGAGAGCAGAGTCTAAGATTACTTGAGACATGCGTTTCCTCTGGTCGTGAGTTCTCCTCCACAGAAGTCAGCACACTACTCTCCTTCCCTTCATCAGCTGCATCATCCTCACAGAAAAGAAGCGGAGACAGACCCAGCTGCAGGAGAGAAAACAAAGGAAAGACGTAACAATATCCCGGTATCAGGTGTGGCCTCCAAATGGGTGCACCACCCTCGATGTACACTTGAATCAACTGGAAACCAGTGCATGTATGTGGTAAGTGATGGCCACCTGCGTATAAAACTCCAGCCCCTTGGGAGTGATGGTGGTGAGATGGACCTCTCGTCCGCTCAGCTTCACTCTGTCCACAACCTCCTCGTGCTTCAGTGACTCCACCGACTCGTCGTTGACCTCCAGCAGCAGCTCTCCGTCCCTCACCCCCGCCCTCTCTGCAGGGCTGCCTCTGGTCATTCCACGCAGGACGTGATCTGTTGGTTAATATGTTCCCAGTTTATTTAACAGCAAAACAGTGAAAATGATTCAGTTTTCAGCAGTTTTTCATCATCTCACATGTGCGTCCTGATGGCACTTTCTCCAGCCGTAGAAGAAAGCCAAAGCTCTCAGACACGGAGATCAGGTGGAGTGTTCGGGCTCTATAAGGTAGCTGATGAGGGGTAGCCATGGTGGGCAGGACGGGGACCCGCCTTTGCGTGTACTTCTTTTCACTCTCGCTGTCGATCACTAAGATGGTGATGTGATCACCACATTTCTTCATCTACAATAAAACATATGGAGATATTATTGTTAGACCAAAGATAAGCTGATGTATTATCTGTTGCATCGCTCCGAGGCAAAAATCTATGAAAAAGTCCACAAACCATTTTGCTGAGTGCGGCGTGTGTGAGATCAGACGCCATCGCTCCATTTATCCACACCAGCCGATCTCCCTGACACACCGCTGCCTTTTCAGCTGCACCTCCTGCCACTGGGTTCACCACAAAGCGACCTTTCTGTCCTA